CTCCTACCCTTCCCAGCCTCTTTTTTATTTATTTTTAAGTCAATTGAGTTAAAGACAATTTTGAGGATTTTAAATATTTGGTGGGTTCAAAACCAGGATTGCTATTTTTCGCTGTTATAAAACCTTTTGACAGAAACTTTAACCTAGAGGGATCTATGAGTGGGCCTCTGTTGAAATATATGTAAAATATTGGTCTTTTTTCTTAGGAAGGAGTCTAGAGGTTTTCCAGTTTCTCATAGGGATCAGTGACCTGAAAGGGTTTTAAATCACTACTGTAATTAAGAAAACACACAAAAAGTTTGCTTTTCTCTGAAATATACTTTAGAAATAAAGTATAGAAAATCTAAATCAAAGTAGCAAAACCTGTGAATTATGTATGGTGAGATTTGAGTAGAAACTGGCACAGACATTCAAAGCTTAAGTCAGTTATAAATTCAAGTCTTTTCTAAAAGTTTCCTTCCTTTGATTTGTAGGAATTTGCATCAGTTGTAGAAAATCTGGAAAATAAAAAGAACATAAAAATTATCTGTAAACTCATCACCCAAAATTAACTGATGTAGACACTTTGGGATATTTCTTTCAAGCTTAAGCTTTGTTTTTATGTAACTTTTAAGCTTTTTTACTTTGAGTTCACATCTCATTTTATTCCTAGAGCAAAAGGTTAGTAATGAATGAAGAAAAAGGCACCTATGATATTAATAACTGACAAGCCTTAAGCACTATGTGTGGTGGTCGTGGAGAGACCCCAGAACAGAGTCTGCTGTCTGGCTTTGCTGTATGTCCACTGCACTCTGTTTCATGTTGAAAAGTTCAACTGAAGAGATGTAGTAGAATGTGAACTGCATCTGTCTCTTTGGATAATTTTGTTTTACTGACTTTTAAAAAATTACAAGTTTTTATATTTAGGTAATCTGTTTCTAATAATAAAAAATTTTCTGATGGACCCGTAAAGAACATGGATTACTTCGTTAGCGTCTTCTAATGACATAGATTCCTTGCTATAATAGAGTTGTAAAAAAGGAGTGTGCCACCATACTGCCTGAATTTTTGGTAGGTTTCAGTTATCTTTTTTTTTTTTTTTTTTTGAGACAGAGTCTCACTCT